AATGTTAATCAGCTAACAGCACATGATTACATGTAACAACAAATGTTAATCAACTAACAACACATGATTACATGTAACAGTGAATGTTAATCAGCTAACAGCACATGATTACATGTAACAGTGAATGTTAATCAGCTAACAGCACATGATTACATGTATCAGTGAATGTTAATCAGCTAACAGCACATGGTTACATGTAACAACAAATGTTAATCAGCTAACAGCACATGATTACATGTAATAGTGAATGTTAATCAGCTAACAGCACATGATTACATGTAACAACGAATGTTAATCAGCTAATAGAAGTTGATTATATGTAACAGAGAATGGTTTAATTATTTGAATTGAGGTAACAGATTACCTTTAAATAGTGCTATGTAAAATCAAAAGATATTTATTAACTTAACCATAAAAACATGCATGTCAACATTAAACAGTAAATGTTCAACCTTAGATAGATAACACCCCACATATATGTACGAAACCACATAGTTGTGCCACTATTAGCTTGGTACTTTCGAATCAGGATTGGATGAGGCACAGGTAGCAATCCCACCAATGTTCCATGCTGAAGGAACTTCAGGATTTCACTCTCATCAGTCAGTCCCCTGTTAAAAAGTTCAATCAGAAACGTATGAGTGGTGAAATTTCAAAATTTTGCAATCCTCAAAAATCTACATATATGATAACAAAAAATAACTTTGATTAAGGTAATTGGAAAATTTTCGGTCTTTGGCGTTCCTTTTCCAGGACATCAAAATAATTAACACTTAAAAAGATGTTAACAAAATTTAAGATAACTTAAAAATACAGTTTAAAAAGAATATTAAAACCCAAATTTTTCATTTTGGTTGATAAGAAGCTTTAGAGCCAGATGATTTCATTTCATTAAGATATCTGGCACATTATTGAAAGGTTAAAATTCAAGGTACTTGTGTAAATATAATTATGATACCAATGATTAATGGCTCTTTGCACAGATTTTGTTTTCACACTCCTGAGGATGATGTGATTGGATGTAGTGTCTGTTTTACGACCGTTGATAGGTCTTAGAATAGGGGTTTCAATTGTATATTAAAAACGTTGATTGTTTGAGTATTTCAATATCTGGTACTTCTCTCCATCAAAGAAAGATAAAAATTATCTTACTTGTCTAAACAAATTTTCTCCACTTGCGGGACCAAAACCTGAAGAAGCCTCATAATGGTCTGGAGAGGAAGCTTCTGTTTCCATGACAATACCCAATCAGGATTGGGCACCCACTGTGCACTACTAGCATTTGAAGATACTAAGCTTGGCTGTCTACGGATCTCTGTTTGTGATGACCCGAGATCTGATCCAGATGATGCAGTAGAGTGACTGGGACTTACAGGAGGGGAAGACTGAAGAGAGGGAGTATCACATCAAAATTATTTCTCACATACAATTACAATATTATATTGAAACAAACAGTATTTTAATGATTAAGACCTTGCATTAAAACTAATCACGTTATGGTAATTTTGAAGTTAATGTCTTCTATTAAGTTTAAGGAAAGGTGACAAAAAAATTTCACAAATATTTAAAAAAGACATTCTAATGTAATATTTCGGTGAAGAGGAACCCACTTTGAGACTAATAATGGTTGGAGACGGCTTGTCAAATGGTGATGAAAAAACCTTGTCGAAACGTTGTACATTTGCTGTTATGTTAAACTTATATTAAAGTTTTTCTTCATTACCCATTCAAGCCATCTCCAAAAATTACCTAATGTAATTTTTCAATTAAGTAAATGCATTGTTTTAGATTTGCTTTGTATTCATCACTAATATTTTATATATTTCATTGATTTTAACAGCTATTTTGATCAATGTCTTAGAAGAACTAGAAATAATTTAATACAACTTTTTATTTTATCATCTGCAAAAGCTGTTTTATTTCATGATTTTACTTATTTGTTACATAACACTGTATGTCAAAACATCAAGAAATTGTAACATCAAGGTATGAATGGCTAACATTCAATATATGTTCAAAATTCTTCTGTCCGAGGAAAGAAAGAAAAAAATATTAGAAACTGACTATAAACACAAACCTGTTTCTCATTGGGACAATCCTCTGTAGACACCTGATCTCCCTCAGTTTTATCACTATCTGTGGGGACTTGTTCTTGGCCTTCAGGCTCTGGGCCGTGGCTGTCTGAACCACCACCATCATTTGGTGAGGGTTCAGATGTTGCTGACACGTCACCTTCGTTTTGAGGTGGATGGGCATGTTCTCTCTCTGTCATTTTATCAATGCCTGTAAAACACAGTATTTGTTTTACCAATACAAACAGACTACTCACCATCATTCTACTTACATTACAATTCTACCATTACATAATTGTAAAAATAATCCAGCGTCTATATAGTAATAGTCGACACGGTAATTTATACCAAAAAATGTAGTTGTAAAGTTTACTTTACAACTACATTTATGGTACAGATTACTGTGTCGACTATTACTATATAGACACTGGATTATTTTTAAAATGTTTTTTACATAATACATTACTTTACAACTACATTTATGGTACAGATTACCGTGTTAACTATTACTATATAGACACTGGGTTATTTATTAAAATGTTTTTTACGTAATACATTACTTTACAACTACATTTTTTGGTATAAATTATCGTGTCGACTATTACTATATAGACACTGGATTATTTTTAAAATGTTTTTACGTAATACATTCTGTGTCAACTTTTACTACATAGACACTGGATTATTTTTAAAATGTTTTTTACGTAATACATTACTTTACAACTACATTTATGGTACAGATTACCGTGTCGACTATTACTATATAGAAGCTGGATTATTTTTAAAACGTTTTTTACATAATACATATTTATGGTACAAATTAAATACATTACTTTACAACTACACGTAAAAACATTTAAAAATAATCCAGTGTCTACATGGTAATAGTCGACACAGTAATCTGTACCATAAATGTAGTTGTAAAGTAATGTATTACGTAAAAACATTGTTGCCCAGAAATTTTGATTTTACTTTTGGCTTTCATTGACTTAACAGTTTATATTATGAAAAACTATTTTTTCTTAAACATTCTTCTACTTAATGACTAACCTGAACAGTTCTTAACCAGTTTGTACATGTTAACATTGAGTCAAGCTAACAAGAACAGTTCTTAACCAGTTTGTACATGTTAACATTGAGCCAGGTTAACCTGAACAGTTCTTAACCAGTTTGTACATACTAACATTGAGTCAAGCTAACAAGAACAGTTCTTAACCAGTTTGTACATGTTAACATTGAGCCAGGTTAACCTGAACAGTTCTTAACCAGTTTGTACATATTAACATTGAGTCAAGCTAACTAGAACAATTCTTAACCAGTTTGTACATATTAACATTGAGTCAAGCTAACAAGAACAGTTCTTAACCAG